AAAATGGAAAAAGCGGGTAAAGATAATGGATGGATGGATGATCGAGGTTGCTTGTTATCAGGTTTTTTACCTCCGAGCCGGTGAACACGAGGGAAAGTGATGTTTTTTATCATCTCACTTGGGAGTTTCAGCTGATGTTGGATAAAATCACGGATCGTAACTTCGGCATCCTCCTATGCTCATTCTGGGATCCCATAGAAGACAAGATTGTCCCACATGCTCTGAGCTTGAACATCCAGGATGGACTCCTTCAGTTTTCTGTTTTCTCCAGACAGCTGCGTCATCCCCTCGGTGAGTTGTTTGACATTTTCCCTCAGAGTTTGAATCTCAATAGGGAGCAATGCTACCTGAGCTTGGCTGAACTCCAGAGACTCCCTCAGTGCTTGAAACTTTTTGTGGAGAAGCTCCACCAGGGCAAGCTGGGCATCTAGGCTGGTTAATACAGTGTTTTTTTGTGGTTTGCCCATTTCGATGTTGTCAAAACACTCATCCACGTAACTCCAGACTGTCCAAGGTTTCCTTGTCTAGTTTGGTTTATTGAAACAATAGGCAGAGGTTATTATTAAGAATATTTTTTATGTTAGGCTGATTGGTAAATAAATTGTCCCTAGGTGTGAGTGAGAGAGTGAATGGTTGCTTATCTCGTTTGTCTCTATGTGGCCCTGTGATGGACTTGCGACCCATCCAGGGTGTACCCCGCCCCTCGCACAGTGATTGCTGGACATGGGCACCAGCGACCCCCGTGACCCAAAATGGAATAAGCGGGTAAAGATAATGGATGGATGGATGGATGATTGGTAATTAAATTGTCCCTAGGTGTGAGTGAGAGAGTGAATGGTTGTTTGTCTCTATGTGACCCTGTGATTGACTTGCGACCCATCCAGGGTGTACCCCGCCCCTTGCACAGTAATTGCTGGACATGGGCACCGGCAACCCCCGTGACCCAAAATGGAAGAAGCGGGTAAAGATAATGAATGGATGGATGGATATTGGCTTGTTTTACTTGAGTCGAATTGTGTTTGTTTAGCAGTATCCTGCCATGTTATTTACGCAGCATAGCTCTCACGCGATCTCAGCAGCTCATCACTAGGTGTACCATGATTCTATGTCATTATACTTCAACTGCTCAATACTTGGAAAAATGCCTCAATATCCCAGTCATGCCTGTTTCGAGTGGAGACACTACAAAAATCAATAATAATAATAATAATAATAATAATAATATATTGAATCTTTATTAGAGAAAAAATTATCATATTTATCACCTTATATCATAGTATATTCAATTCAATTCAGTTTTTTTATATAGCGCCAAATCACAACAAAGTTGTCTCAGGGCACTTTACAGAAACATTCACATAAAAGCCAATTAGTAAATATCCTGATGCATGCTCAATAATCCAATTAGTAAAGTTCTCTATCTAAGGAATCCAGCAGACAAGATGAATCTTGGCTTCGTTGCAGTCTTCCATCCTGAGCAAGTACAGTGGAGACAGTGGAAAGAAAAACTCCATTTTAAAAGGAAGAAACCTCCAGCAGAACCAGCTCAGGACAAGAGACCATCTGCTTTGACCGGCTGGTTGAGAGGACAGGAAGGAGAGACAGACGAACACAGAATGGTAGGTCCAGGTATAGGTCCAGGTGTATCTTTTTTTAGTGGTATGGCATGAAGGCAGCAGGCTGCCTTGATTTTATTTTATTTATTTGTAAGTCAGTGTGGACAGAGGAACAGCAGAATGAGGTGAGATTTATTTATTTATTTATTTATTTATTTTGTGTACCTGAAAGACAAAAAAAACACGTTAAAACAGAAAAAATAATTACAAATACAAAACAGGTTGAGTAGAGTAAGTAAAGACAGTAGCAGAGTGGAAATTGTGGTCTGTTTGTCCTCCAGCAGTCTAAGCCTATAGCAGCATAACTAAGGGACAGCTCAGGAAACCCAAGCCGACCCTAACTATAGGATTTATCAAAAAGGAAAGTCTTAAGCCTAGTTTTAAAACTGGACAATGTGTCAGCCTCACGGACAGAGATTGGAAGTTGGTTCCACAAGAGAAGAGCCTGATAACTAAAAGATCTGCCTCCCATTCTGTTTTTGTAAACTCTAGGAACCACAAGTAAACCTGCAGTTTGAGAGCAAAGTGCTCTGTTGGGAAAATATGGAACAATAAGATCTGTAATATAAGATGGAGCTAGGTTGTTGAGAGCTTTGTAGGTTGGAAGTAAGATTTTGAATTCTATTCTGGATTTGACAGGGAGCCAATGGAGAGAAGCTAAAACTGGAGAGATATGATCTCTCCCAGTAAGTCCAGTTAAGACTCTGGCAGCAGCATTTTGGATCAACTGAAGACGTTTTAAAGAAGTATTTGGATATCCAGATAATAAACCATTGCAATAGTCCAGTCTAGATGTGACAAATGCATGGACCAGTTTTTCTGCATCATCTTTAGATCAGATGTTTCTAATGTTAGTGATATTACGTAGATGGAAGAAGGAGGTTCTAGTAACGTTTTTAATGTGGGGGATAAAAGACATGTCCTGATCAAAAATAACACCAAGATTTTTAACATTAGAGCTGGAGGACAGATTAATGCATCTAAGGAGGGGGAAAGACTGAAAAATTCATTCCTAAGGTGCTCAGGTCCAAAAACCAAAACCTCAGTCTTGTCTGGGTTCAAAAGGAGAAAATTGAGGGTCATCCAGGTTTTTATGTCTTTAAAATTTAGTCTAAGTAAATGAGTGGATTCAATGGGTTTAATGGACAAGTACAACTGTGTGTCATCAGCATAACAATGAAAATGTATCCCATGTTGTTTAATAACTTTACCTAATGGAAGCATATATAAATTAATGAGTATTGGTCCAAGCACTGAGCCCTGAGGAACTCCATGACTAACTTTGGTGTATGAAGAAGATTTATTATTTGCATTTACAAACTGGAATCTATCAGATAGATATGATTTAAACCATTTTAGAGCTGTTTCTGTAATCCCAATATTATATTCAAGCCTCTGTAGTAAAATATTGTGATCAACTGTGTCAAATGCAGCACTGAGGTCTAACAGGACCAGTATAGACACAAGTCCATTGTCTGAGGCCATGAGAATATCATTAGTCAGTCTCCCCACCATCACAGACATTTACACCTCCAGATGCAGGAAGAGAGCCACCTGCATCATGAAGGACCACACTCACCCAGCACACACACTTTTTGCTCCGCTCTCCTCGGGAAGGAGGTTGAGGAGCATTAGGTGTAGAACCACTAGACTGAGGAACAGCTTCTACCCTGAGACTGTTAGACTCATGAATCTCTAAGTTAAGATTAGAGTAAGTAAGTACTTAGTAGAGTACTAAGTTTTTAGCGTATTCTTAGTTCATATCTTACATCTTATTACTGTTTTTCGTTTACAATTTATACTTTTGTTGGATTTAACTGGGACCCTGTGTACACAATTTCTTTTCACCTCATGTACCACATGTAATGTGAATGACAATAAATGAAGAACCTTGATCTTGACTATGAAAAATACAAAGACAATTCATAGCACCTCCAGCACATATTAACTGCCAAGTTTGAAAAAATTGTAAACAGAATCCACAATGATGCTTGAAGGGTTAGCCTGGAGCTAACAGCAAACAGCCCCATAGTTCTCCAGTTTTTAAATCATTGGCTTTATAGGCCACTTTTAAATGGCTACATTATTAGCTTAATTTCTGGTCAGATTACATTAACACCAAGGTAAAGATACTGACTTGCAAAAAGAGATATGGTCACATGCTCATTATTGAGCATGCATGAGGATATTTTGAGCCATTTTGGCCAGGATTGCCTCAAAGTAGTTCCAGAGTTTTAGCTGGTGGCGGGAGAGAGGGCAGACTACAGGAACCCCCTGCGCACCAGCAAACTGACTGATCCACTATGAGAAGATGCTATTTATAAGTGTAAGTTTGCTGCAGCTCCTCAGACTGAAGAAGTGTTTTGGATAAAAGACGAAATGTTTCAACAAGAAGAAACAGATCAGAGGACCTGAATTTACTTTGTTAGAAGAGACATGTTTTCCCTTTGTCGCTATATCCATAGTACACACAGCTTTATGGCATTTTTACATTGTATTTGCATTTTATTATTTAATTAGTTTACTAAATACACTTCATTATTATTTTTGGACATTTTTTACATAATCAGCCCTTACTCAGGGCTATTTAGGCAAAACGCTAAGTGCAGATGTTTGACTGTTTTGTCAATGGAGGATGTATCTTCAGTGAATCACAAGTTCACATGACCAGTGCACCCTCTAGTGTTTTATAGAACTATATGGGCATTCTGAATGTTCCACATGATCAAATCTTGTTTTGAAATAATTTTTCCAAATGATTCGATCACTTGAACTTTCTATTTTTGCCATCACTCCTAAAAACCTCCCCATGGACCTGGGTACAAAAAGTGTTGGTTTTACAGAAAACAAGCACCGACCTTGTGTCCAAAGCAGAAATGCTTCTCTGTAGTGAACTTCATGTTTCACTCAAAAACTGTCATGTAAACAGAGTCTAAGAAACGAGTAGAAGTGCCCTCAGTAACTGTAACACTAACAGGTAACATGTACCTGAAGGTCCAAACAATGGTCCAAATATGAGGCCCAGACTCACATACGGGTGGGTGGGAGCTCTGAGCTCTCATTAGAGTTTACTCATTAAGATAGACTGTAGAGAGTTCAGTGAGTTAGGTATATTTAACCAAAGCACGTTACGGACATTATTCTAAGACAGTACAAATCATTGCTTGTTTGTAATGCATAAACAGACATTTTGACACATTTCTTACCATTTGCTGGCAGTAATATATCATTTTTGGTTTTGACAACCACTAATAAAAACTAAAAATGAAAAGAAGAAGAACCTCCTGACTCCAGATCAGCAGCACCTGCAGATAATCAATTCATTGAGCAGTGATTGGCTGCAGGTTCCAATAAATACCAAATCACTGCTGTTTGAACAATACAGATCCAGGGGCTGCAGTCTTGTTGGGCTTCTTTGTCTTTGAGCAGAGACCCAGAAATGACTTGTGGACTTGGTTTGGGGTAAGTGTTTGTAGCCACTTTGGTTGAAATGGTCACTTTTCTTTCTAACTTTCCTGTTTGTTTCTTGAACAGGATCTTGGTGGTTTTCTTGGTTCAAGCAGAGCTTGTATGTTGTCTCTGGACTAAAGGAGGTAAGGACGAGAACATTACAGTTATTGCTCCAATGTCCCACCACTGTGGACTCATGTTGTCTCTTGTCCTGCAGCTCAGAGCTTCCAGAACAGCAACACATATGTTGGCTTCCAACCAGATGGCAGCCTGATCAAGTCTGGCAGTTATCCCCAGAATCAAGTCAGACAAGGCTTTTCTCCACACTCTGTCCAGAGCAGGAGCTTCAACGCTGGTCCTGCAGTTGCCAGTGGTTCTGGTCCAGGACTCTCCACTAGGAGCTCAACACAAGTTGTTTCCCAGCCAGCCCAGAGTTCAGTCAGATTGGTGAAAAGCAGCTCTGTATTGAAGGCCAACAAGCAAAGGCCATTCTCACTCGGGTCTGCTGCTCCACAAGGAGCAAGGCAGTCGTTTGCTGGTGGACCTTCAGTGATTCAGACCCAGAAGAACCCCTCTATCAGCAGTAGAAGTTGGCCCACTCAACAGGGAACACAGCGTTTCAGCAAGTATCCATCCAGCAGCTCTCGCTCTCTTCAGGCTTCTAGGGGAAGCTACTCCTTCAGATCAGTTTCTCCTCAGTCTGCGGCACAGGCACCTCCCAGGACTGCTGCTAAAACGTCTTCCCACAACAGCAAGACTGGTTCCTCTGCCATCCTGTTTGACCCAGCTGCTCCTGGACAACGTGGGCGCTCTGTACAGACGCAGACCAACGCTCGTGGTCCTGCTAAAAGGGTGTTCTCAAATCGTAGGTCTGAAGGACAGAAGGCCAGGAGGCTCTCTCCTCAGACCCAGCCTTGGAAACCCACTCTGGGTCACCAAATGGGATCCAGACCCAAAAGCTGGCTGCCCACCTACAAAACCAGCCATAATCTGGCTGTCCCCAGGAGCAGCACCATGGGAGCTCCTGGTCAGGGTTTTGCCTCTGCTGCAGTTTACGAGATCCCTGAGAACTTTGGTGGCTTTGCTATCAGACGGCTGAAACCACCTTCTGACCAGAACCAACTGACTGTTCAGAAGAAACGTTTTCAGATCCCTACAGCTGCTCCTCAATGGATGGTGCCGTCCACTTCCTATGTCCAAAAGGTTCATCCTGAGGCCAGGTGGACTAGAATCAAGCTGCGTTAGCCTGTGGGTTTTTTTTTTTCCCTTCAACCTTCTTACTTAAAAGTGGTGGTTTGTATATTTTTAAGTACATAAATAAAAGATTCATTTTTATATATATGCTTTTTTTTTTTTTTTTTTTTTCTTCAATTGATACACACACACACGTGCTAAGTCTACTAAAGATGACTAAGTTGCATTGGTCAGAACAAGGGCTGCAACAACGAACCGATAACAGCGTTGGCAACTAATTACGTTATCGCTTCGTTGTGTCGTGCGATTATGCGTCTTTAAAGGCGCTGCGAAGCAGTTTTGTTCACCTGTAGTTGTCAATGCTGACTAAAAGTTTAAATTTAATAAAAAATAACTCTGCAGCACGAGTTGAGCGGGGGAAGAGTGAACGGAGTACAGACTGTTTTCAAAGGAATTTTTTTTTTTTTAAACATATTTTTATTGATTTTAACAGGAGAATAAGAAACATACAGATACTTAAAAAGAAGACCTAGACCAGACAAAAAAAAAAAAAGGGTTTTGCAGCAGACTCTCAATAGACCCATCAACAAAAACATCAGTTTGACTAAGCGTATGACCTTATGACCTTATAACCAATCCCCCTTCCAACCATCGAGTTGGATATCATTTTGGCACAGCCAAGTGTAAAAGACAGACCAGACCACCCAAAATTTATCAAGCTTGTTCTTAGTAAAATAACTGATTTTCTCAAGTGCAAAGTAGAACGTCATTTGTGTAGTCCATTGTGAAATTCCACACAATGTCCTTTTCTTCCAAGAGTGCAATACAGCGTTTAGCTTCCAAAAAGGAGACATTAAGTAAGGATCTCAAGTTATTTGGGATAACAAAGTCTTCAGGATAAATATTCAAGATGCACATCTTAGGATTCAGAGGAACCTTTTTACCAATCATTTGACCAATCACAATCAACACATCCTTCCAAAATGCCAACACCTGAGGACACGCCCACATACAATGAAATGAAGAACCTTTTTGGAAAGTACATTTAATGCACGTGTCAGGAATATTAGGGTTAAAATGATGCAATTTAACTGGAGTGATGTATTGCCTAGTCAGCCATTTGTATTGTAATAATTTAGAATTTGTGTTAGCAGATTGTGCATGAATTGAAGTGCAGGCTTTGGACCACTCCTCACTCGACAAGCTCTCTCCCAAGTCCGCTTCCCATGCTTTTAGGATGTTGACCGAAGATTCTTTACATTTGTCAACAAACAAGGAATAAAGAAGAGACACCTGTCCTCTGTCATATAGGTGATTTACAATAATGCCTTCTAATGAAGACAAAGAGGGTAAAACAAGATTATTTCGTTGCTTGGATAAAATGAAACTCCGAACTTGAAGATATTTATAGAAATGTTTTGTAGGAATATCATATTTGTTTTTAAGGTCTTCAAATGACATAAATACTTTCCCTGTAAAAAGGTCAGATACCTTAGCTATACCCTTAGCAGACCACAGTTTAAAACCTGGGTCTGCTCTACCTGGACCAAAGTCCCTATTTCCAAAAATGGGTGAAAATTGGAATAAGACTGTCCCTTTTATATCTGCCTTATGACAGAGGAGGTTTACAACTGCCAAATTTATTATGGTATTTCTGGGCAGCCCAGATCAGGGCAGCTATGTTTTATTTTATTTCTAGAGAGCCCCCAGCGTGGGTTACAATGGAGTCCCAGCTAATCCCGATTCCTATAAACTTATACTTGTATTCGTCAGACAGAAAAAAGCTTATTAAAGAAACAAAAAACCCTTTTCTGAAAAATACATTGCTTGTCTGGCAAAAAGTACTTGATTATTTGGGAGAAAAGCAACAACTATCCCAATTTTCACCCATTTCAAAGGAATTTTACAAATGACCGCTGCAAAAACTGTTCGACCCAAGTCCTTCAAAGTGTGGAAGCTCTTCACAAAGATAAAAACTGCACAACATGCAGCTTTGAAAAAGTGACGACACAGGAGAACCACGGAGATAAAAGTAAACATGTTGGAGTCACGAGGATGGAGCTGAACAGCAGATACAAATCTTGTCTCCCAACTCGTGCTGCATGTGAGTCTACAATATTCATTCTGTTTCCAAGTGAGAAAACGTAACGTCTCTGTAGCTGAAGTTGCTGCTTTTTTGTGATAGAACATGTTTAATTTAGTACGGTGTTTAAATGTGATTTAACATAATTTAAGCTTCAACTTTTAATTTTCTGGCAAAGTCTGAAGATACTGCCTGTAAGGCAAGATGAATTGCATTTAAACAGGAATTAAAGTAATTTATTACATCTACTTAAATGTGTATTTTGTTTTAATTGCTCTTTTAGCTACTTTTGCCTGAACCTAACCCTGTAAGTGAAACGAGGCATTTCTTGAGTTGCTGTAAATTGAGCTGAATTGTTAAAAATATATGAAGCAGCTTAGTGTGTTTGTATTAGAAAAACTTGTTCATTTTGTTCTGTTACTTGAAAATTGTGATTGAAATAATTGTTTGAAAAAAGGGGCAGATAAGATTTTTTCTTCTTTCTGCTGCCTTTCATTTTAAATCTTGTATCTTTTTATATTATGGAATTGTTTTGTACTTTTTTTAAATGAATTAACTTTATACCATACCAATTGTTATAATACAAACTCTCTCATTCCAGAAAACAAACATCCTTCATGATGGACAGACATCATGGACACCACAGCAGCAGCTGTCTTCACTAAAAGCATCTTTAAATAATCGTCACTGACATGAGGCCTCTGTCCATGGTTGAAGACGAAGGCTTCACTACAATAATCCACACTTTTAATCCAGGTTACAATCCACACTTTTAATCCAGGTTACAATGATCCACACTTTTAATCCAGGTTACACTCTTCCCTCAAGGACACATTTTACAAAGTAGACTACATGTTGTGCAGGTATAAAGCATGCATTTGTATATATTTTTGTGTACATTTATTTTTTTAAGCTATTTGACCAACTTTTATTTTTTATTCTTCAATATTTTACTAACAGAATAGTCCAATAGCAACCTGTTTTTTGTGCAAATTGCGATGTCAGTCAAATGTTCAATTTTGGAATAAAGGGGTGGAAATTAAAACTTTTTTTTTTTTGGGCAGATTCATCAATTAATCAAAAAAATAATCGGCCGATGAATCGATTATTGAAATAATCGTTAGTTGCAGCCCTAGTCAGAGCTGATGAGTACATTGTCTCAAATTCAAAGTACTTTGTTCTAATTAAGCACCAGATCTGGAATATGCCATGTGTAACATTTGGCATGGCAAACCCTACCTGGTTTTACAGTCTGGTCTCAAATGCTGACTAGTTTCCAAACAACAGCTTAGTTATTATGGTGATCTGCTGGATAATAAAATTGGTGTTTTGCTCCAGTGCCGTGAGATTGGTGCTTTACGACTGGATAACAGAAAATGCTTGATTCTCAAGACTTAATGCAGAAATACTGTCCTGTAAATGTACTATCCACTCAGTATTTGGTCAGGGTACCTGTGTGAAGGCTGTGGTTTAAAAGTTTTCATAAATCTGCTTTTTTTTAAAAAAAATGTTACTGTAAAAGTCCACGTTACAAGCTGCAAATTCTTTGTAGGCTCTAGATCAGGCCAATGTACTACCAAATGAGGGCCTGGTTATACCATGAGGGTCATCAAACAAGGTGTTGGCACTTTGGCAATGTGTAGGTGTCCAGTCCTGTTGGAAAATGAAATCAGCAACTGCATGTAGTGTTGAACCAGAAAGACTATCATGAGAAAGTTATGACACTCCTTAGTGACTTAACCACTTATGAACCTCTGAAAAGAGATCCAGGAAGTGGTTACAAGAAGAAGTTAATAGATTGCCTGTAAAATTTGGAGCAGGACAAGGCTATTGACCGTATTCTGTACCACAGACTGTACCCAGGGGAGGCCACACCTAGTCTGTATGGTTTACCTAAAATCCACAAACAAGGTGTACCTTTAAGACCTATTGTTAGCATGATTAACTCTGTCACTTACAATGTTTCCAAATATCTGGCGTCTGTACTCATCCCTTTAGTTGGCAGCTCAGAACACCACATACAGAACACCATGGACTTTGTGGACAAGGTGAGGGATGTCATCATGGAGACTGATGAAACAATGGTCTCTTTTGATGTCACATCACTCTTTACCTGCATTCCTGTTGATGATGCAGTAGAGGGGGTCAGTTTAAAATTAAAATCAGACACCACTCTGAGCAGCAGGACCACACTTTCTACAGAACAACTGGGTCAACTCTTGAAACTGTGCCTGCAGTCAACCTACTTCACATATGGGGAGCAATATTATAGGCAGAAACATGGGTGTGCTATGGGGTCTCCAGTTTCTCCTATTGCTGCCAACCTGTACATGGAGGAGGTAGAAAAGAGAGCCTTGACGTCCTTTTCAGGGACACCACCAAGTCATTGGTTCAGGTATGTTGACGACACCTGGGTTAAAATTAAATCTCAGGAAATCCAACATTTTACTGACCACATCAACTCTGTGGATAAATACATCAAGTTCACATGAGAAGATGTAAAAAATGGCAGGTTGGCTTTCTTGGACTGTGAGGTCTCAGTCTCTGATAGAGGGCATTTGCAAACCGAGGTGTACTGCAAACCCAACCACACAGACCAGTATTTGCAGTTTGACTCCCATCACCCTTTGGAGCACAAGTTAGGAGTCATCAGGACTCTGTACCACAGAGCAGACAGCGTCCCCACTAGCTCAGGAGCCAGGCAGAAGGAGAAATCCTACACAAAACAGGCTCTAGAGCAATGTGGATATCCTAACTGGGCCTTCCTGAAAGCAGAGAAGAAACCCAAACAGGACACCAGTCAGCCATCAGGTGAAAAGGAGGAACCCAGACCCAGACCAGTGGTCATTCCATTATGTTGAGGGAGTATCAGAGAAACTGAGACGTTTATTTTCTAAACATAACGTCCCAGTGGCTTTTAAACCCCAAAATACATTAAAGACTGGTTCATCCCAAAGATCCAGTCCCCCGGCACAAACAGAGTAATATTGTGTATGCTGTTCAGTGTCAGGAGGGTGATCAGTCTTACATCGGGGAAACTAAACAGCCACTGGCCA